TCGATCGTGAGGTTGCGTGGCAGTGTCTGTCATGGAAAAGTGTACCAAAGAAGCACATTAACCTAATACAGACTCTCTATTCGAACACTTTTGCTTAGTTATTAATTACTTAAGGGGATTCGTTACTTCAACTGGTGTCCGTCAGGGCAGCGTTTTAAAAATAAAATTATCTTCGTCTGATTTTTTAGGGGTGGACCATCTACCAAGAGATTCGCTTGTTTACTTAGTGTATGCCGATGACATAGTTGTACTTGGTGCGGACTTTGACAAAATGCAGTCTTCTTAATACCCTAAGTAAGGATGCAAGCGTGTTTGGGATGTGGTTTTCCCACTCGAAATGCAAAATGTTGCTACAGGATTAGGTCGCATCGGCACCGGAACTAGTGATAGGGAATGAAGTAGTCGAGTGTGTAGACCGCTTCACTTATCTTGGGACTTTCATCAGTTCTGATAGCCTGGTGACTGACGAAATATCAGCACGGATACAGAAAGCTCGAATGCCTTTTACCGACTCGCGTCACTTATGCCGTAGGAGAAATATCCATTTGCTGATCAAAGGACGAGTGTACTGCGCAGTAGTTTGCTCCGTCCTACTATATAGATGCGAAACATGGCCAGTAAGAGCAGATATTCGTAGGTTACTGGTTTTCGACAATAAGAGTCTCCGAGGCATTGCTCGTGTATCCTGGGACAATCGAGTAAGCAATGCCGTCGTTAGGAAACGAGTTCTAGGTAGGAATAGCAAATCAATAGATGAAGTTGTGAATCTTCATCAGATGGGGTGGTTAGGACAGGTGTTACGTATGCCCAACCACCGACTGCAGCGAACGAGCTGTTTTTTGGTGTAGGAGTAGGGTGGGTGAAAGCTAGGGGCGGCCAATCCAAAACATGACACAAATCGATGAAGTCACTGACAAGTGGACTGAGTCGTGTTGGCAGATGTAGGCTGCCTGGTTGGGGTCCGCGAGACGAAAGTCGCTGATGGTTAGAGACGTTGAATCACATGGCTCAAGATCGTTTGCAATGGCGCAGGTGCATCCACTTTTTGTGTTCTCTCAAATTCTAAGCTTCAGAATTGCTCATCATCTCTATATTTCTCTTTCTAAACTTATCTCACTGAATTATACTTCTCGAATCATATCTTGGAACCCTAATCTTCTTCGATTACTGCTAATACTTCTACTATCGCTTTCACTCTTGGATTTGAACTGATAGTTGCGTCTCTTTGCTGATGCGGTATGGCAACCTGAAATCATGTACTTATGTACGAAGTTCTGAGTTGTATCTGTCTGTCTATCCATTCATTTGACTTCACCTTGACAAAATAAAGAACCAACTCGGTTGACTCTGCGCGTATCTGGAAGCCCTGCTGCTGCTTTCCAGGGTCTCGCTGGCGTAGGTATAGCATTTAGTTACAGGGCAGAACTAGCGCTCCTACACTGTATCCCAGTAGATAGTCGTTTGTGCGCTGTCCGACCCTACGGCACAATAAGGACTCGGAAAGATGGTGAAACTCGCCGTTGCCTCTTCATTTACATGCCTACGCCCCCACAGACTGCAGTTCGGACGAGTTATACAAAAATCTTTCGGACGTCCTCCAAAAGGTTAGGCGCTCTGGTGTAGTAAATAATGACTAGTGACAAGGCTCAAGTGAAAACGGAAGACACCTGAGTGGATCTTATGATGTCGCGGCTAAAAAACTGATAATGGCGACCGTCTGCTGCAACTATGCTCAGATAACCGCCTACATCTAGCGAATACTAATTTTAACCATAAGGAAAAACATATCTTGACCAGGCGACCCTCAAAGTTGTCTCTACGTTGAATCGATCTACATCACATCGCCATCAGCCACTGATGGAGAGGTTCGATAGAGGACTGTCGCTCGTTCTAGGGCACATGTCTAAATTCAGATCATGCCCTAGTGCGAGCGCGTACTTGTTTGAGGCTTACTGGACGTAAGAAAGACACGGCAAACAAACCTTTTAGGATTCTACTTAATGATACTAAAGCTAAGAATACATTTCAGGAAAATCTAGAAAAACAGTTAGGCGGCCTTGTAAATGATTTACATCCGGAGACAGCGTGGAATCATATCAAAAAGGCTGTGGATACAGCAGTGATTTCTTATAGTAAGGTAAACCATAAGGTTAGGGAGAAGACATAGATTTCAGTAGCATCTACCGAACTGGTAGACGCTCGTAAACTCATCCTACCTGGCTCTGAAAATGACGAAGTCAACTTAAGCGCAGGGCGATAAAAAAAACAGTGGTGGGTAGCGAAAGCGATGGATAAGGCAGTGGCAATAGGGAACAGTAGACAACTTTTCCGCCCTATCAAGGAAACCGGTATAAGGAACCCGAATGTGAGTGAGACTATCTCAGAAAAGGATGATTGTATCATTCATTCTCAATCCAGGATATGGGATCGATGGGCAGAACATTTTAAGGATCAGTTCAACTGGCCTTCAGCCACACTTCGGTTACCCACGATCTCCAGTCATCCTGAATGACAAATCGATATAAGTCCTCTTAGTCTTTATGAAATCGAGAAAGCTATAAGAATTCTGAAGCGAGAGAGAGAGAGAGAGCAGTGGGTCCTGATAGACCGACTCCGGAGGTTTTTAAGGATGGTGGTCCAGTTTTTAACAGTTAGATCGACTGAAACCTTAGGTAGAATCTGGGAACTGGGCGTAATCCCATCTGACTGGTCTCAATCGTTGATTGTCCCAATTTATAAGCAAAGACAAGAGTTTTCTTGTGACAATTACAGAGGAATCAGCCTAACTAATATAGCATCGAAAATATTGGCCTCAGTAATACTCCGACGAGAGCTCGTGAAGAGCAGACTAGAGAAAACCAAGCTGGTTTTCGACTTGGACGTGGATGTGTAGACCAGATATTCACAGTAAGTTAGGTTCCACAACAAATACACATGTTCAAACGCCCCACAGTAGTAGTATCTCGACGTAAAAGTGGCATTCGACTATGTCGATCGTGAGGTTGCGTGGCAGTGTCTGTCATGGAAAAGTGTACCAAAGAAGCACATTAACCTAATACAGACTCTCTATTCGAACACTTTTGCTTAGTTATTAATTACTTAAGGGGATTCGTTACTTCAACTGGTGTCCGTCAGGGCAGCGTTTTAAAAATAAAATTATCTTCGTCTGATTTTTTAGGGGTGGACCATCTACCAAGAGATTCGCTTGTTTACTTAGTGTATGCCGATGACATAGTTGTACTTGGTGCGGACTTTGACAAAATGCAGTCTTCTTAATACCCTAAGTAAGGATGCAAGCGTGTTTGGGATGTGGTTTTCCCACTCGAAATGCAAAATGTTGCTACAGGATTAGGTCGCATCGGCACCGGAACTAGTGATAGGGAATGAAGTAGTCGAGTGTGTAGACCGCTTCACTTATCTTGGGACTTTCATCAGTTCTGATAGCCTGGTGACTGACGAAATATCAGCACGGATACAGAAAGCTCGAATGCCTTTTACCGACTCGCGTCACTTATGCCGTAGGAGAAATATCCATTTGCTGATCAAAGGACGAGTGTACTGCGCAGTAGTTTGCTCCGTCCTACTATATAGATGCGAAACATGGCCAGTAAGAGCAGATATTCGTAGGTTACTGGTTTTCGACAATAAGAGTCTCCGAGGCATTGCTCGTGTATCCTGGGACAATCGAGTAAGCAATGCCGTCGTTAGGAAACGAGTTCTAGGTAGGAATAGCAAATCAATAGATGAAGTTGTGAATCTTCATCAGATGGGGTGGTTAGGACAGGTGTTACGTATGCCCAACCACCGACTGCAGCGAACGAGCTGTTTTTTGGTGTAGGAGTAGGGTGGGTGAAAGCTAGGGGCGGCCAATCCAAAACATGACACAAATCGATGAAGTCACTGACAAGTGGACTGAGTCGTGTTGGCAGATGTAGGCTGCCTGGTTGGGGTCCGCGAGACGAAAGTCGCTGATGGTTAGAGACGTTGAATCACATGGCTCAAGATCGTTTGCAATGGCGCAGGTGCATCCACTTTTTGTGTTCTCTCAAATTCTAAGCTTCAGAATTGCTCATCATCTCTATATTTCTCTTTCTAAACTTATCTCACTGAATTATACTTCTCGAATCATATCTTGGAACCCTAATCTTCTTCGATTACTGCTAATACTACTACGATCGCTGTCACTATGGGATTTGAACAGAATGTTGCGTCTCTTTGCTGATGTGGTATGGCAACCTGAAATCATGTACTTATGTACGAAGTTGCATGTTTTAATTGACGTACGGAAACAACCAGTGCAGTGAGAGCTCACGCTCACGGGAGGTTTCTTAGGAATTGACTATTCAATATGGTGTTCGTGGAGGCTGTTCACTTTCTGCATTCTCATCCAACTATGTTATTGACATTCTTTTAGAGACGACATTTACATCGTTTGACTCTTCAGGGATGGACCTTCTTACAAAAGATTCGCTAGTATATTTCAATGACATAATTCTACTTGGTGAATACACTGACCACCTTAAACTTTGCTAGCTGATAGGATTCAGCAGGATAGCACTTTTTGTCCGACTTTGAAGTATCACCAACTCCAAAACTTGGTAAGATTAGTACTCCATGATGTGTATAGAAGCGTCTTATGAAAACAGTGCATTTCTACGAGGCGATAATGACCGATTGAGAAAAACTGAAGTGTAGGACAGCCTATATCATGGAGTGATATGTGTAGCAGTTATTAATTCGTACTCCATTTAGCTTATGAACTATGTTCCGACAGTCTACGAGCATATTCGATGCATACAGTTACTAAATATTCACTAGCATTGCATAACTTGCTACTATGAAAACTAAGCAAAAAAACTGTCGTTCAATGGATTATGAGGCCTTATTTGTGCTAATTGAAATATCAATGGTATCTACAGCAGTTAGGCAAACTTGTTGCAAGCTCTTAGCCCCGTACAGTACGAAATTTAGTTGTAGATAGTTTCGTACACCAAATAAAATTTCAGAGAATGGACTAGAGCTCTATTCTTTTTGAAAAAAGCATCGATGTAACAACTACGGGTTTGGAAACTGAATAATGAGACAATAAAATCATTTTGAAAAATACCATAATAACAAGGCCATCATAACAAAAAGAACGCCAGTTTCGAAGAAATACCACACAAACTAAATTTGTAATTTCCGTACAAATGGTGATGCGAATCGCGCACAAAAATCTGACTGGAAATCAGCAGCATTTGTGAGTGAGGTGATATATATTCGACTCTCAGGCAAGTGTACGGGCTAGAAGAAATACTATTTTAGACCAAAATACGTGACAAGATTGCACGAAGGATCCATAGTTTTCTTATCCAGGCTATTACAAAGCTCGAGGATGCGAGATCTAGGGTTAGAAAGAATCAGATCTTAGTCATTCAACAGATGAGGATTTCATGAAAAACGTTCAATCTATATCATATAAATGTTTTCAAATGGTTCATCAAAAAAACAGTCATAACGCATGGAAACTGCAAATATGTGAAATGCACAGGAAATTTGAAAACCAGCCAATAATGGGTGATTTTACTCGCCCCATGTTCTGTCGACGAATTTTAGCTAGTCTGGTATTGCTAATCTGAAAAAAAATACAATCGACACTCGACCATATATGGATTTTCTGCTTGCTAGGTTAAGTTTGTTTCAAGTTTTGTCAGAACAAATTCTATTACGGATGCAGAATGATAAGACCATCAGTTTGCTGATAACCAATCTGTTGCCGCGAGATATACTTAATTATGAAATGAACGTTGGCATGAAAAAGTTAGGAGAATCACTTTATTCCAAAAACACATTCTAAAATATACAGCGGGCAAATGCATGAAATCCAGCACACATTGAGAAAAGTAACAGCATACTGGTTCTCCTTTTAATAACTACGAAACTGAGGTCAAGCAAATCAGTCAAGATAAGAGTCTAGGTGACGTAGTAAAAGTTATTGGGTCGTCTACAGATTGATACCTAGAAGCTGGATTTATTACTGAAAAAAACGTAACGGTCTACTGCCATGAGTTCATTGAGAAATAGAGTTAATATGTATTAGAGCAGACATTCTTTTTAAAATAAAAAATAATGAAATAAATCTGAGTAAATCAAAAGATGACTAAGGAGTTACTAAGATAAGCAAATTTTTTGTACATATTACCTTGTTTCCTTGCAAGTTACCGATACGACCGCTTCTTTATACATTTTAAGAATTTGTATACTCTGTTTGCGACTGTCAGCATTTAATGCGCTAGTTAGATTTTTCAGAGCATGTGAGAACAGAATGGGGCAAACTAAAAATGGAGCGTCACTGTAAAAAAAGGCATGAAAGGCGATATGCGTGTGATTCTGCACAGTTCTTGAAATCTTCTGTTAATCAAACAAAAAAACTTTTATCTGGATATTGATATTTGTACTAATCATGAGTTAAGTTTTATGTCAATTATGAAATATAATAATAAATAGATGGTCAAATGAATTCCAAAACTCAAAAGCAGCTACCACTGATACTGCAATGAAGTGAATATCAAAAAAGTGGTAACTCGAATTTATTTTACGGATTATTAGTACACATATTTTTATGTTATATACTTAATAACCAGATAACAATACTTTTGTATTCCCTGTGTTATAGACTTTTACTGGACTCACTAACTGTAGTTATACACTTAACTGTTACTGACATAATGTCAACTAACTACTCACTTGCTTTATTCTCTTACATTTATTGCTTGATTGTGTATAAATTAAAATTCCTTATTTGAGGTATATTGAGGTTTGACTATTCACAGTACAGAATAAACATTGGGTATTGTCAGTTCAGCAGACGGCTAGGAGTATTTAATGATTACAGACACTTTTCCAAAACAGCGGTCCATTACACAAAATCTATCCTCACGAAAGTTACATTAGGTAAATTAAGACGAATGTTTAGCTGTTCTGGATCACTGGAAGTAATGGCTTCGGAAAACGGACCGCAGTTAATTTACGAACTATTGAAATATAAAGATAATAGCCAGTCTAGTGTTGTCTCATCTTATTTCGGACTAAATACTGTTCAGATAAAAATAGTAAATCAGTTCTCAATATATGATTGATTAACTTTAGAACTATTTGATGTCATAACAATAGGGTTTCTAGCTAATATGAAACGTACAAAATACGATTTAGATTTAAGGATGCAAAGTACGTCCGTACTGCAGGGTAGTTGTATTCTACGCAACAAAAAACAGCACAATGAAGTGCATGCATGTTTTTTATTACCTATCAATGGTTTTTCCACGCATAATCAACACAAGATATAATAATGACACGAAAAGCAATGTACTAAAAGACAATATGTTTGAAAAAAGGTTAAGTAACTGACCTCTGGTAACTACTATTTGAATGTGTACTAGAGAATATTAAATATGCGAAATTCACCCACTAATTGAAAAGGAATAAAAAGTATTTGTGATAGCTCCAATTCAGAATAGTAATCAGATAAACGTGGCAAACGCAATTAAAATAATAGTGATAGCACAGTAATAGAATGTAATCGATCACTAGAAATATGTAGTGTTAATCATTAAACTGGTGGCCATAAAACAATAATTTATAACGACCCGCTCAATAACATAAAAGTAATTGTGCTTGAACTTTCCTCAAAAAAAACTGTATTCATGATACCTATAAGATTGCATATCAGTCAGTCAATCACAACATAGAAATTCGTATGTAAGTACATCAGTTCATGTCGCCATACCAAATCAGCGTAGAGCCCGGCCGAAGCTGCTACCTTGACGTGGTGGTCGGGCTTGACTATCGTCATGACCCAACCGAGCTATATTGGCTGGAACATATGTTCCTGAAGGTTCTACCATTCCAGGCACGTCGATTGGGGAACAATGAGAAGAAAAGCAGCTACTCAAGGTCTCAAGACACCTTTTGACCAGGCGACCCCCGAAGTCAAGCTAAGAAAATATTTCAGGAGGAACCAGAAAAACAGTTAGGCGACCATTTAAGCGATTCCCATCCGGAGGCAGGTTGGAATGATATCAAGAAGGCTGTGGAAACAGCAGTGATATCTGCTAGTAAGGTGAACCATAAGGCTAGAATAAAGCCTTGGATCTCAGTAGCATCCACCGAACTGACGGATGCTCGAAAACTCATCCCAACTGGCTCTGAGTGCGATGAGGAGAAGAGTCAGCTTAGAGATAGGCTGACAAAAAGCTTACGCAACGATCGTGAACAGTGGTGGGTGGCAAAAGCGTGAGAGATGGAAAAGGCAGCGGTGATAGGCAACAGTAGTTCCGCCTTATAAAGGAAACCGGTGTTAGAAATCCATCTGTTAGCGAAACGATCTCAAAAATGATGGCTCTATCATTCATTCTCAATCCAGGATATGGGATCGATGGGCAGAACACTTTAGGGATCAGTTCAACTGCCTTTGAGCCACACTTTGGTTACCCACGATCTCCAGTCATCCTGAATGGCGAAACGAATCAAGCCCTCCGAATCTTTATGAAGTTGAAAAGCCTATAGGAAATCTGAAGAGAGAAAATGCAGCAGGACCCGATAGATTGACTCCTGAGATTTTTAAGGATGGTGGTCCAGCTGTGGTGTGCGCTACTTATAAGTAGTATATGACGCGAGTGAAAACGTAATGTCTGGCAGCAGAAGATGGGGGAAGATCAAGAAAGGAAGAGCGGAAACACAATGGAATTTGTATGAAACGCATGAACAGTGAAATGTCAGACAATGGATTGATGATGGATTGATCTTTTGCAAATTCACGGTTTACGAAATGGTTTTCCTACTTTACTAATTAACGCTGTAATTTTCGATAAATACAATTCGGTTGCCCTCACCTGTGTTCTCCATCACTTCATTGTCGCTGCCAGGATATGACAGCCTGGATGGCAAGGTGAGGACATAGAAGGCGGTCACGGATCAGCTTGTCGCGGAGTTTGACAGCCCAGTGGATCGGCAGGAGGCACTTCAGAAGTTCAGGACGGTGAAGTTATCGGCGGATGGAGACCCACTGGTGATGGCAGTCGAATTCAAGCTGTTACATCGCACGCTGCCGAGTTTGGATGAGTAATCTGAAGCTCAGCTGTTAGCATCGCAGTCCATCGAGAGTGTTCCGGACGCCATTTCCCAGCAGCTGAAGTTGGTTGAAGGCCGCATATCCGATTCGTATAAATGAAGTGAAGGAGAACACAGGTGAGGGCAACCGAATTGTATTTATCGAAAATTACAGCGTTAATTAGTAAAGTAGGAAAACCATTTCGTAAACCGTGAATTTGCAAAAGATCAATCCATCATCAATCCATTGTCTGACATTTCACTGTTCATGCGTTTCATACAAATTCCATTGTGTTTCCGCTCTTCCTTTCTTGATCTTCCCCCATCTTCTGCTGCCAGACACTACGTTTTCACTCGCGTCATATACTACTTATACGTAGCGCGCACCACACAGCTTTGGCAACCAGATTAACTGAAACCTTAGGTAGAATCTAAGAACCGGCCAAAATCCCATCCGACTGGTCTCAATCCGTGACTTTCCCAATTTATAAGAAAGGACAAAAGTCTTCTTGAGACAATCACAAGGGAATTAGTCTAACTAAGATTATCTCTAAATTGTTAGCCTCGGTTATACTTAGACGCCTAACTAGTGCCCGTGAAGGGCAGACTAGAGAAAACCAGGCTGCTTTTCTACTTGGAAGTGGCTGTATAGACCAAATCGTTAGACTACGAAAGGTCTCAGCGCAGATAGAGACGGCTCGATCGACTTTTGCCAAGTTGCGTCAACTATAGCGAAGGCAAGATATTTGCTTTCCAACCAACGAAGAGTGTACCGTGCAATAAGGTCGCTCCGTCCTACTATATAGATGCGAAACATGGCCAGTAAGAGCAGATATTCGTAGGTTACTGGTTTTCGACAATAAGAGTCTCCAAGGCATTGCTCGTGTATCCTGGGACAATCGAGTAAGCAATGCCGTCGTTAGGAAACGAGTTCTAGGTAGGAATAGCAAATCAATAGATGAAGTTGTGAATCTTCATCAGATGGGGTGGTTAGGACAGGTGTTACGTATGCCCAACCACCGACTGCAGCGAACGAGCTGTTTTTTGGTGTAGGAGTAGGGTGGGTGAAAGCTAGGGGCGGCCAATCCAAAACATGACACAAATCGATGAAGTCACTGACAAGTGGACTGAGTCGTGTTGGCAGATGTAGGCTGCCTGGTTGGGGTCCGCGAGACGAAAGTCGCTGATGGTTAGAGACGTTGAATCACATGGCTCAAGATCGTTTGCAATGGCGCAGGTGCATCCACTTTTTGTGTTCTCTCAAATTCTAAGCTTCAGAATTGCTCATCATCTCTATATTTCTCTTTCTAAACTTATCTCACTGAATTATACTTCTCGAATCATATCTTGGAACCCTAATCTTCTTCGATTACTGCTAATACTACTACGATCGCTGTCACTATGGGATTTGAACAGAATGTTGCGTCTCTTTGCTGATGTGGTATGGCGACGTGAACTGATGTACTTACGTACGAAGTACTGCGTTGTATCTGTCTGTCTATCCATTCATTTGACTTCACCTTGACAAAATAAAGAACCAACTCGGTTGACTCTGCGCGTATCTGGAAGCCCTGCTGCTGCTTTCCAGGGTCTCGCTGGCGTAGGTATAGCATTTAGTTACAGGGCAGAACTAGCGCTCCTACACTGTATCCCAGTAGATAGTCGTTTGTGCGCTGTCCGGTTTCCTTGATAGGGCAGAAAAGTTGTCTACTGTTCCCTATTGCCACTGCCTTATCCATCGCTTTCGCTACCCACCACTGTTTTTTTTATCGCCCTGCGCTTAAGTTGACTTCGTCATTTTCAGAGCCAGGTAGGATGAGTTTACGAGCGTCTACCAGTTCGGTAGATGCTACTGAAATCTATGTCTTCTCCCTAACCTTATGGCTTACCTTACTATAAGAAATCACTGCTGTATCCACAGCCTTTTTGATATGATTCCACGCTGTCTCCGGATGTAAATCATTTACAAGGCCGCCTAACTGTTTTTCTAGATTTTCCTGAAATGTATTCTTAGCTTTAGTATCATTAAGTAGAATCCTAAAAGGTTTGTTTGCCGTGTCTTTCTTACGTCCAGTAAGCCTCAAACAAGTACGCGCTCGCACTAGGGCATGATCTGAATTTAGACATGTGCCCTAGAACGAGCGACAGTCCTCTATCGAACCTCTCCATCAGTGGCTGATGGCGATGTGATGTAGATCGATTCAACGTAGAGACAACTTTGAGGGTCGCCTGGTCAAGATATGTTTTTCCTTATGGTTAAAATTAGTATTCGCTAGATGTAGGCGGTTATCTGAGCATAGTTGCAGCAGACGGTCGCCATTATCAGTTTTTTAGCCGCGACATCATAAGATCCACTCAGGTGTCTTCCGTTTTCACTTGAGCCTTGTCACTAGTCATTATTTACTACACCAGAGCGCCTAACCTTTTGGAGGACGTCCGAAAGATTTTTGTATAACTCGTCCGAACTGCAGTCTGTGGGGGCGTAGGCATGTAAATGAAGAGGCAACGGCGAGTTTCACCATCTTTCCGAGTCCTTATTGTGCCGTAGGGTCGGACAGCGCACAAACGACTATCTACTGGGATACAGTGTAGGAGCGCTAGTTCTGCCCTGTAACTAAATGCTATACCTACGCCAGCGAGACCCTGGAAAGCAGCAGCAGGGCTTCCAGATACGCGCAGAGTCAACCGAGTTGGTTCTTTATTTTGTCAAGGTGAAGTCAAATGAATGGATAGACAGACAGATACAACTCAGAACTTCTTACATAAGTACATGATTTCAGGTTGCCATACCGCATCAGCAAAGAGACGCAACTATCAGTTCAAATCCAAGAGTGAAAGCGATAGTAGAAGTATTAGCAGTAATCGAAGAAGATTAGGGTTCCAAGATATGATTCGAGAAGTATAATTCAGTGAGATAAGTTTAGAAAGAGAAATATAGAGATGATGAGCAATTCTGAAGCTTAGAATTTGAGAGAACACAAAAAGTGGATGCACCTGCGCCATTGCAAACGATCTTGAGCCATGTGATTCAACGTCTCTAACCATCAGCGACTTTCGTCTCGCGGACCCCAACCAGGCAGCCTACATCTGCCAACACGACTCAGTCCACTTGTCAGTGACTTCATCGATTTGTGTCATGTTTTGGATTGGCTGCCCCTAGCTTTCACCCACCCTACTCCTACACCACAAAACATATAAATTATATGAATAGAATAACTGTCTGAGGATGTGAGTTAATAAAAACTGATGTGAAATAATAACGTGAAAAAATAACAACTATGAAGAATGTCTGAGTTGGATATCTATTAATTTTCTACCGAATGTTAGTTTCGATCCGACGGAAAGTATCTGGAAATAACAACAAAGTTTATTATTCTAGTACTTTCTCCCTTTGATCAAACTTAACATGAGAGAATATAAACGACTTTGATGAGAATCCAGTGATTTAATGCTGTCTTGGGACTAAAATATGATAGGGAAATCATAAAAACGAGTTAAAGGTTACACAGGGTCCTCGGATAAACGCATGTGAAAAATGAATTTTGAGTTAATAGATGGGAGAGAAAGTGACTGTCATGTATTATAATCTTGAATAAGGATCACTGAAATACAGGGAAAATCGTTGGTAAAACTTTTCAGTCAGTTGTAAACGTTACCTGAAAATAATTTTTATACTAAATATCCTTGAGTTACCAAGCCGTCAACTTAATACCTCATGTATTAAGGAAACATAAATCAATCTGGCATTCGGAAAAGCATCCGCTCTGTATGTCACCAATCAGAGAAAAAGAAATTGGAGCATATCAATCAAGTTGATGATTTCATGGAAACCACCACAACATAGAACTAAGATCAAGTTTCTCGTGTAATAGTATTTTAAGTTCTAGAACACATTGAAATCGATGTCATTTATAGTATACATGAATGAGAGCTTAAATTAACTTCTATTCGAGTTATGCGACTTATTCCTGCACAAGAAATGTATTTCAGGTCACAGACAGAAGGTAATATCTTATATCGTGATACTCTTATCACAAAGTGTTAAATGGTCAATCAGTCAGTTACAACATAGAACTTCGTACGAACGTACATCAGTGCAAGTTGCCATGCCACATTAGCACAGAGACGCAATCGTCAATTGAAATCCCATAGTAGTAGAAGCATTAGCAGTGATCGGAGAGATTAGAGTTCGAAGATATTATTCAAGAAGTATAAACTAGCGAAATTAACTTAAAAAGAGGAGAATAAAAACGATAAATCCAGAGGATTAGGGTTGGAGGGAACACAACGAATGGTTGCACCTGCGCCATTGCAAACGAATTTGAGCCATGTCGTTCAAGGTCTCTAACCATCGATCACTATCTTCTTGCGGACCCTAACCAGTCAGTCTACACCTACCAACGTGAGTCAGTCCACTTTCCAGTGACTTCGATAGAAACATCGTACACATAATCTAATCACGGATTACACCGCAAACAATACCATCGAGCTATTTTTGCATTTTCAATTCTGTTTTCAAATTAGGAAAAAGCAAGAGCATATGAATAAACTTAAGTTAATATACAAAATCATTCAGAAAATACTTAGTTCTCAAAAAGCTTGACATGAAAATGTCAATCAGGAAAAACCGCTGTGTTATGAAACGGAAGCTTTAAAAATTGAGTCTTTCCAACCTACCTTGGACAGAATGTTATGCTGATAACTGATTCGTTCACAATCAGAAACGGGCAACGCTTTACTTTCAATCAGATAAGTAATTTGATCATAAGTAGCAGACTGCAAAATATGAGTCCGAAAATCCAGCGTAGGACTATTAAGTACCACTGACTAAAAATTTTTTAAAAAACGATGATGTAATAGGATTACGAAACATAAACACGCTGAGGTGTTGTTAAACATCAAGATTTACATCTTTTAAGCCAAATTTGTGCCAAATATGAGTACTCATAACTTTCTAACTAAGTTACTTGTGTTTGTTCACTACTTCCATGAACGTGTTGTCGAAAAAGCCACGACAGAGAAGTCGTACTTATTTTAGCAAGCATCATGCTTAGGCGGTAAATAAGAATGATACTCATTAACCAAAAAATTTTATACTTCGAAGTACAATGAAAAGGGTTTTTAATAATATATAGTTTAATAAACTATTTTGACAACAGATGTAAGTCGTAGAGGAGACTGATTAACCATTCACAAATTAAAAACGCATTCACTGTTCGAAAACGAGATAGTTGTGTACTGTAAAAGTCAGTCAGTAAGTCAGTTACAACGTAGAACTTCGTACGTAAGTACATCCGTTCACGTCGCCATACCACATCAGCAAAGAGACGCAACATTCTGTTCAAATCCCATAGTGACAGCGATCGTAGTAGTATTAGCAGTAATCGAAGAAGATTAGGGTTCCAAGATATGATTCGAGAAGTATAATTCAGTGAGATAAGTTTAGAAAGAGAAATATAGAGATGATGAGCAATTCTGAAGCTTAGAATTTGAGAGAACACAAAAAGTGGATGCACCTGCGCCATTGCAAACGATCTTGAGCCATGTGATTCAACGTCTCTAACCATCAGCGACTTTCGTCTCGCGGACCCCAACCAGGCAGCCTACATCTGCCAACACGACTCAGTCCACTTGTCAGTGACTTCATCGATTTGTGTCATGTTTTGGATTGGCTGCCCCTAGCTTTCACCCACCCTACTCCTACACCAAAAAACAGCTCGTTCGCTGCAGTCGGTGGTTGGGCATACGTAACACCTGTCCTAACCACCCCATCTGATGAAGATTCACAACTTCATCTATTGATTTGCTATTCCTACCTAGAACTCGTTTCCTAACGACGGCATTGCTTACTCGATTGTCCCAGGATACACGAGCAATGCTTCGGAGACACCTATGACGAAGACAATCAACCTACTTTGTACTGTAATAAATATAAAGCTGATTGCAAATTTTAATATAGTAAAATAAAATAGTGATCTGTATTGGAGCAGAAAAAAGAAAAGAAATGCTACTGAAAACTTACAGCAACAGCTTCAGGTCCAAGGTGTTTGTAATGTATTTTGACAATGTCTTTTATTATACGACATAGATAAGGATCACTTCGCCAATTTAATTGGGCGATTCCGCGTGCAAACTGTAGATTAAAGATTAGAATAATTGATAATAAAAACAGACATTTGTTGACTCAATAAAACTATATACTGAAATCGATAAAATAAAAAACTGAAGTAACAAATAGAAAAAGCTACGAATATCTGACTGCATAAAAGTTAATCATTGAAAGAAATATTTAAAAGCACGTAAGTACAATTACTTCAGGTAGCTGCTCTTGCATGGACTCCATAACATAATACGGAAATATATCGGATTCTTTGAATATGGAAACTTTTTTAGAATCCTGCGTTTCGTACAATTGTCTTGGAAGGAAAAAGTGATTCACTAGGTTCTCGAAACTTGATGCTGAGCCTTCGGTAGTGACTGGAGCATAAAGAAGCATTGAACAGTGACGAATTAACATTCCTGCAGCCCGGTAACCGCTGACACATAAATGCTCTGGTTTTAGGAAACTACTGTGTGTAGTGAGCCACAAACCGAAACCACTTTCCTGTGCAGAACTGGATACGGAGCAACATATACAAATAAACTCATTTAATCGACCAATATATTCAACAAATATAGATTTGAATAACATTCGAGCTTGAAATGTCTGCGGATAATCGAATAAAAAGGTGAAAATACAAAAGCAGGTCAGGCAGTATACAACATATGAAACAGAAAACGCTGGTATATCATCATACACATATTACCATATCATTTTTTTTATCTATAGTCTTAAACCTCATTTCATCATGCCCAACAAATTTTGTACAACGGATGCGGATATACTGAGACTAACTAACGATTTCGAATCACAGACATCGTCATCTAAAATAATGGGACAAAAATTCGCACTTTTAAAAGTATATAAGAAGCCAGTGTGACAACTTGAACTGATGTACGTACGTACGAAGTTCTATGTTGCTGTTGATTGATATAAATAGTCAAGTTGGTAAGACGATAGGCAAAATTAGCATTCTTCAAGGGACTGTGGGAAAATTAAGCTAAATGTTCAAATGAATATTTAAGTACTCAGAAGGCAGAAAAAAAACCAGGGTTCCTAATCAATAAGATGTTATTTTCGATCAATCTATAGTAAATATTTTGTTACAAGAGGTATTAACTTCGTGATTCTAATAAAAACACTTATTTTAGTGAACAATAAAGTTTGTAATCATAATAAAATAAGATTTTAACAAACCATCACATAAGTTGAATAAGGTTAAATTATGCCAATCGCAGTGTTTATCACTAGTCTTTGCAGCAGAAACACTTGATCGATTTAGTTTGCTTCAATGAGGCTTAGGGAGAAAGTTTTCTAGGAATATATGCTGCACACATAGATTAAACCTTCAAGAAATGGCTTCGAAAAACAGATTAAAAAATACATCACTTTATTTATGAAAGAACATCAGTGATAACTTTCTTACCTCAGGCTGGCGGTTAATGTTTTGAAAATAATGCAATTTTTTTCTAAGAATTAGAAACGAAGTCTGTAATTTTCTTCTATGAACCAAAGCTATCACTGAAACTCAGCATTGAGTACACACAATTTATGGGATAAAACTGGTGTTTATGATGATTACAACTCAAAGTTAAACTTAAATTATGACAGAACCGGTCAAAGTGTAGTTAAATAAGCGATGATTTCATTATTTTATAATTAATAGAATTTTATGTCATATCAGGTTAAGAACATTAAAAATTAGGATAAATGTAAATAACTTACAGCGAGTTCATCAAAATAAGTAGCTATATTAATTAAAATGGTTTCAGCATCTAAATTTGAGATTGTTGAAGTGGTTGAATGCACTGGCAAAAAAGCTCGAATTTCACCAATAAAAGACGGAAAGACGAAATCATCGTGACTTTCTGAAGAAAATGAATTCACATTTCTAACCAGCAAACAGTATGTTAGCAAACTGACAAAAAATAACCAGGCAATTGTAGAAGTTTCCTTTTCACTTGATTTAAGAATAGTAAATAATTCTTTAATTGTACTGGATGTACCATAAAATGATTCCAAAATAGTAAAATGAAACCTATGTTGTTGAAAATGACCAGGGAAGAAAACCAACAAGATTAAAAGCGAAACGATATTGATATAGACGCATTGGGAAAGTAAACAAACCAATAACAACTTGTCAGGACACCTGAAATTATTAAATAACTCACACACCTCACAATATGTTTTAAAATTCCGAAATTGTCAGTCATAAGGAGTTACCAAATACAATGTGCATAGAAAGTATTGCGTTACCTTCATATTACTATTACATATTTTGTTACATAAATAAAATACAATTAGCATGTGGGTTAAGAAACTTACGAGAAATCTATAGAAGGATTCATTGTAATCAAATCAAATAATTCAGCGGGATCAGGGAGCCGGAGTGTCACTTTACTAGAAGAAAAATTAAAATTTATTTAAAGAAAATTAATAAGCACTTCTCTATGAATTAGAATGTATCACTTTGCAGAGACCTTTTTTCTTTCTATTGATGGTATGAATATAACTAATCTATGGAAACATATTTGAACGAAAATGTTTATTTTTTCATGAACATTATCTCATTCGAATGGTAATTGATCATAATTGTTATTCTTCGAACACATGGCTATAAATTTTAGTGATTTTTGACAGGGATTGTGCGAAGCGTATTTTCATAAAGATATTCTATGACCATGTTTTAACAGCAAACTAGGATATATACTGGACAGAATAATGTTCTCATATATTCACGTTTACAATCGCTACCTACTGATATAATTTAAATGCAATTTAGATCACAGAGCTTTTCGGAATACAAAGAATTTTTTTGTTTTTATCCCACTATGCAATCGATTTTCAGACATACACTGCTAAAAGGTATTTCACGCAGTCAGATTCATATTTTGGGTTTAGGTTTCTTTTTCTATGTAACAATGAGCAGAACAACTGACGTTACCCGATCGACGGAAGAAAAATAGAATCTTGAAAATTTTTTAACCACTACTTCACTAGATGTGTAGTGTTAAAACGGAAGCAACAAATGAATTAATTCCTTTCATACTACAAGCGTGTATAATTCTGAAATATCGTACTGTCAATGATCGACTTCGACCTGATTAGCTACAAATATAAAATAAAACTAGGAGGACTACATTAATTAACTAAATTTTATGGATAAGCTGGGATTTCACGTTTGTGTGCATAGAGTAATAATTTATTCCAAGTTTATACGCAAAAAACCACAATCACTGCACATGATACAGACAATCCTGTTATTTGAGATGTTCTGAGAGAGCAGACAGTAGCTATACAATTACACAAAGTAGGTTTGTGACAGATAAGTAGTGCATAGTAATGAAAAGACAAATGACTCAAATTTTGTCAAGTGTAACAACGCGAAATCTATAACACTTATTCCATGCAGTATTACTACAGAAGGAAACGAGAAAGAAACAGTATTGTTTTCAAACATCAGCTCTTCAGTCAAACTGAGCAGATCAACATTACAAGTAGTAAATTTATGACGTTAAGAGAAAATAAAGTGAACCATTAAACTTTTCCGTGTGAGTTATAAATTTGCAATAAACAATAGGAAGTTATTGGATACGGTTTCTTACCGCTCACTTCTGTACGAAATACAAACAGTGGATAAACGAAGAAAGTATAATGCAATTTCCGATAGGAGTGATAATAGATTAACGGGTATATGAGTAGATTTGGTATTCTGCCGTGAAATAGCCTTCTTAAACGCAGGATAAACAGAGCTCCAAATGAAAACTAAAGAAAGAAAACGAAAAATTATTCAATCTTGTGAAAGGAATGTATTAAAAAATGATAGTATATGGTATTTGTATCAAAAGTTTTATAAACAATTAAGTGCTATATTTATACAGCACAGTCACGTTTGTTTATGGCTTTAACAGTCTTGAAGTCTTGATCCCTTCACTGTGATAAATGGAGCTCTGTTCAAACCTGAGAACTAATAACTGAGAGTGGAGCACTTTAGCTACAGTTCCATTTATACAGCTGTTACTTTTCAAAAGATAGCATGTCCAGGTGAGAAAAGTGATGACTAAATATTGTAAAAAAGGTTACATTTCAGGGAAAGTTTCGTACAATAGACAGTCATAACTTGTTTTCATGATTTTAAAGTGCACTAGTCATGATCCTTCTATCTAATGAGAAAGTGACTGTTTTACTAGTCATGCCAGTTACTGGATTGAAAATTTAATATATAGAACTTTTAAAAAGGCGATGAATTTACTGCTCAATATGCAGTTGCGGAAAAACACAGAACAAAAATTTCATTCTAAATAAACCTAAATATTATACAATAAAAAGTTTGTCCTAACGGTTTGAATAGTTGGTGTGAATATATGTAGACATCTGAAATACTATATTAACAGTTTATATAATTTGGAAAACTCCAAGTTGTCGACACAATCACATAAACAATAAAAATTAACAGCACGATCAAAACTGGTTTTATCATCCAGAAAATCCTGTGGCTGCAAGGAAACATTATGAATAAGGAACAAAGAAAACTTACTGAACACTTTTAAGTCCAATTCCGAGTAAGGTGACAAGCTACAAAAAAAAGAGGAAAAGAGTTAATATAATGGACAATCAGTGCATGTTACTTTTTACACGGCTTATTATGAATCTGAAAAATTTAAGATATTTGTAACCACACCACTAAACATTGAACAGGTTTGAAAAATCGAAAATGAAACAATAATCACTGTTTTATAAGTTGAGGTGAAATTGACTGTCCCGAATTAGTTTCAGATTATGATTTCACCAGATTATAGGAAAACAAGTCAATTTGAAATGAATGGATTATTATACAAACTAAACAGATTGACCATAAGATAATGATGAGATCTTCAATCACATATTTACTATAAATCGGAGGTGAAAAATTCGAAAAAAACTTGTGCAAAACATTTATACGAAAATTACCGAACATCCTCGAAAAAGTGTTCAGTAGAAAAGTAAGCTGTATAATTTTCTACATTAGGGTTGTATTCTGACCTCTAGAACAATAGCACTGGAATGCCTTAACCCTTTGAAGTGAATAAAATATGCACACTACGAACTACTGAATTCGGATCATTAATAGACACACAGCGATAAAAATCGAATACGCGAAATATGTTTATTCAACACCTGACGAATGAATGAAAACTACAACACAGTAAATTGAGAGTTTTGATACGACTCAGGTCATACATCCAGTCACTGAATAGAAAACCTTTCGTACGGCAGAGAATGCTAGGCATTATTGTGTGATTTTTACGACTAATTATTATACTTTTCACCATGAACAAATAAGTTTATGAAGGATATATGATGAACAAAAGTGTTCATTGATAATCGAACATTGTATCTCATTGATAAACTTTCAAAACAATTATCGTAAACTCACTATACAACTTCAAGTAATTTCAGGACGGACTTATTCCAATTCATATCAAAAGGCCAGCCAACTGACTCAAAATATGATGAATCTGAAAAGAAATAAAAGGTGTCAAAAGTGATCAATTCATTCAGATTAGACTGGATACCATGACCATTTATGATGAGAAAATAACTGTTTTACCTTTCCATTGCGTTAAGCAGCGACGCCAGCTACAAAACTACCGAAACTCTGAGACATTGAAGAGATATACATATTATCTAGTTCGTGACGTTTAAACACTTAGCATAGAATACTGTATCTAAATCTCAAAAATGGAAAAATTAGTTGTTTGCGGATGGTCAAAGCTTTCTGAATATTTGACATCATATAAAAGAATGCATTTAAATTTATTACATGATGCAAAGTAAGATGAACTGACTTTCGTTGTCTTGTAATAAACCATCCTAATAGATACATCCGAATACGACTAGAGACCTTGACGGACAATCGGAGTAACTAGTCAATAAGAACAGATAAAATGATATACGATGACTGAAATGGTCAGGAGTGGGAACTTATCTGCAACGTAGAGGGCTCACTTTTATATTTTTCTGCTCAGATTTCAGCAAGTGTCTATTTCCCAGGGAGATCTGTTTATTGTACTGTGCTCTTAATTTTATATGTTTATTGTAAACGTTGTTTCTACCCAAAATGTCATCTTTCACATCCAGCCGTATATAAATAATAGTTACATTCACTCTGTTTACCGCAATACACCACTTATTCCATCGATCTTCTTATTATAGCTACTTATTTAGATGGTCACATTTCACATTGTAACATAATATATTTTAATAGACACACAGTATCAACATTTTTACGAGATTTTTATTCCATCTTTTCTTAGTGAATTTATTTGACTGACACAAGTTGAGTAACTGTTTACTTAGAAGTACAAACAACAGTCATATGACGGTAAGTAGCCTTTGACATGAATTCAGTATTAAAAAATATCTCAAAATTTAAATAACTGGATGATATTCGTCATCGAGGGCAACGTGTAAAGGAAAAAACCTGTACAATTCAAAAATAAATTTAGCACTTAAGTAAATCAATTCATCAGCAATCAAATACACTTTTGATTTGCGGACATAAAAAATATTCAAAAGTGTAATTCGATAACAAATACAAGGAAACTGACCAATACACTGTACAATAAAAAAAATGTGATTTGAAGGTAATGAAATATGAGTGAAGTGATTCGAAGCCAGATCGACGAGAAACTGGGTTGAGATTGATGTGAAGTCACTAATACAACTCGAGGTAAATAATCGACTAAATGCTACCGGACGCTGTGTTAAAACAAATTCTGATTCCGTAGAAAGAATCTCGTACGACCTGTACAGAAATAAAACACACAGTGAATGAATTAAAAAGCGAAAATGAAGGTTAGTGTAATAAGTAATCATTTAAATTGTAACATAATTTCCAAACTTCTAAAACGATAATAGTCATACAAAACGTTTTTTCTACTATAACCAGTTTCCGCACAATAAAAAAGGTTCTCAACGTGGATAATACTCACTCATGATTCATTGACGAACTAAATATGCATTTGATGAAGATATTTGAAATATAGTAACCTGCTAAGGAATGAGTGGTTTTCTACTTTCGAAAACGATTTAGTGAAACCTACCCCATGAATAAACAATTTTAAAACTTAGTATTTCAATTAATTCAGTTTTCTTCGGAATTATGGATCGATCATTATCAGACCACCAGCATGGACAGCCGTTTCGTTCTAGTATGGAACTCATCAGCAATATCGGGGATTGATTAAAGTTAGACAATGACTCTGTTAGATGCCGGTTCAGTGTTCTACAGTTTAAGTGTCCGCGCGCCAGACCGAAGGTCCTGGGTCCCCGAGAGTAGGGATCACAGATGCGCAATGCTGATGAGTCCAACACTAGGACGAAACGGCCGTTCCAGGGTTTTAATGGTGATCTAACAATGATTGATTCATAGATTCAATTAAACTCAATAATCTCCATAATTCTATGATGGAAAATTCAGTTCTTATTAAATGTTACGGGGTTTCGAATTACGAGAAAAATTTAGAGTGGCAATAACTATAAAACAGACCAATAGTTGGACAGCTTATGCAACACGCATAAAAATTGGTTCACATGAATCTTATTTTTTATTTTCATCAGAATCTTGAGTCATATTTTATTCACTCATTTAAATTAATACAAACCATGTTCACTAGGACTAGTATTTTTCACCACCATTGATAGCAGTGTGTTTGGCTATTCTGCTATTAATTCTGTAAATTTGATCGCTCTTAGTTGTTATATGGCGAATCGAGTCAACGTAACTCTCTGCTAGGTTCTACAGTGATTATTAATGACTGAATTTTTCAAACGGTAAACATTGGACCAGAATGCACCAGTTATTTGTCCCATGATGAAGAGTTACAAAGATGTAGCACGAGTATTTCACCAGGTTAATAATGGCACTTAAAATAGACAAGTAATTTTCTTTGCTAACAGCGGTAATTTTAAGAAATTAGAGTTTATAGTGACAATAAAGAACAAAATATCACAACTCACGGAGACAGACTACGACGTAATGGAATTATAACACTATTAATTTTCTCAACAACTGGAAACAAACACAGGAAATTAATATTAAATTCGGAATGCATGCATGCATATTCTGTAAACATAACTAATAGATATTGCAAACATTGAAGCAGAATACAACCACGATTCGGGTCCCAATTATGTGATAATGTTTGGGCAACATTAGCTGATTCCGATAACGAGGAAGATATTTCAACAATATTGTTAACCTACGATTTCAACATGAAATAAAATGTAAAAGTTAAGTAGAAAACAAATGTTGACAAAATGATTTTGTTGATTATTCTAAATTATTTTAAAACAGTCACCAACATTTTACACCATTTTCCGAATTTCGGGTTTGTTATTACACATAAATAATTTCGAACATTACATCACTTTTGAAATCATAACTCCAGTTATTTTAATTCGCCAAGATCCTAGAAATTAAGCGATAAAGTGATGGTAATTTGTGTTTCATAATTACTACTTTATGTAATCTAAATACTAAATAGGTTTGTGTGAATATGGTCCATCTCATAAATAAATTTATCGACATATCAGAACTATGAATATTACTTATAGTATAACTAATTATCCAGTTGGTAATAATCTCTGTCAACAGATCTAAGACTTTGACTGAATTAAAATTATACCTATGAAAGTGAAAAAAATATTGTGGTTAAACGATTAAATTACAGTGTTATAGTTTCGACGTCCACCTAAAAGTGTATTTCAACTGAAAGTACAAAATCTTGCGCCTGTGTAAACTCTGAAATCCAGACTATCTTAGATTTTTGAAGCAAGTAAAATCAAACACCGAAATCAGTCAAAGGGAACAACATAACTCAAATTCCTTACATTCTTCTAAAGAGTACATGGTGAGCTAACAACAAACATAATAGATTTGTAATATTCAAATCAGTAGAAAATTAAAAAAGTCAAAAGTTTCTGACGTCTCATTATCTAGGGTAAGCCAAGGCTTTGGAGGATAAATAACAAAATCAAGCATAAATGGTATAGAGGAATATGTTACATCGGAGAGCGATTCGGAAATATGGTAACTCTCAAAACTAATTTATGAAATACCACTATATGTAGACTTACTGAACAATAATAAACAAGATTATCATATTTCCATATACTTTTAACACAATCAATCAGATAAAACGCAGAAATTCGTGCGGACGTATATCAGTTTAAGTTGCCATACCACACTAGCACAGAGATGCAATTGTCAATTCAAATCCCATAGTAGTAGAGGTGGTAGTTGGAGTATTAGCCATAAAGAAGAAGATTAGCGATCGAAGATATGATTCAAGAAGTACATTGCAGAAGAATCAATAAAAAATAAGAGAGAGACAAAGAGAGGTCATGAGGAATTCAGATTGGAATTTGAGAGATGCCAAAGAATGCATGTATCTGCGTCATTGCAAACGATTTTGAGTCATATCATTCAAAGTCTTACCGTAGGTTGCTAGCATCTCTCGGACACCAACCAGGTTGAAGACTTCTTTTCTTCCTTCAAGTCAAAAATTTTGGAAATAGTTATCGAAAAGAATCAAAGCGATAAAACTGACCCACGAGATTGTTTTTGATATGGGTACAATATCTTTTTCTTCATAAAACTCTCCTTCGAACTTTTTTACTATGATCAATACACATTCATCCTATATTAATTTCACGTAGAAAATTGTTTACATAAAAGCAATCTACATGGAGCTCTAAATCTAGTGATCTACTAAAAACTGATACACTCTAGTGTGGCAGCGCCTGTCACTGAATGAAGTACCAAAGAAGTCACTATCCCAAATAAAGTTTTAACAATCTTTCCTTTGAACTGAAATGCCCCATGTCACCAATCGGTATTTAGGAATACATTTTGCTGTTATTATAGTATCATTTTTATCGGATTATCCACGGCTTTTTCAGTTTGAGAGTTCAGATTGCTCTCCACTATGTTAAAATCTAAAACCCTGCCCACCCTTATCTTCGTTTTTGTGTCCCACAAATTCCTTCTCAATGCGGATATGATCATCCTAGACATTTTGTCATTCGGGGAAACTCATAAGTCTTCATACATATCATCCTCTATGCAAGAAATTTTTCAAAATTTGAATAGTAAAACAGCATCCTTCTTAAGGCTTATCGATTCCACAATGATGATATATGATCGGCTTCTCTATTTCTAAACAACATTATATTACACATTGTTATTTCCGCGGCACTTCCAATGACCCTCGCAAACTCTAAAACCGGGCGGACATCCTATGCTTCTATTTTGGTTTAGTCCTGATTTTCAAAATCTGAATCAGTTTTTCAGTCTCCGAAGTATCTCATCTCACACAATCAGGAGTCATGAATCTACCAAATGCAGACCTTTCAGCTCACAGTACAGAGTTTAAATAGTCAAAGTTCTCTTCAGGTTGGTGTTTTTTGGAAGGATTATCTTTGTAAGATTTGATTTGAAATCCCATTGACTAACATCCTTCAATTATCGGGATTGTCTATAAAAGCTTATCTATAAAAGCTTGTATGCAGAATACACAAAGTTTACTGAATGATGATTCTTGTTGATTAAAAACAATCACAATTCCAACTAGGTGATACAAGTAACACAATATCAAATAACTTTTTGACCAGTTAGCATAAACAAGTTGATTTCTTAACTCTTATTTCTTTTTCAAGAACTGTTTGAGTAACAATAGTTTGTAGGTAATTTAAAATCTCGCTTTGGACTGATTACTGAAAGTCAATCGAAGCTTGTTCAAATTTCTAAGTTATTAGATTCTTTTAATTACCGTGCAGTGAATGAACGTTTTTGAGATATATTGTTTCTGTTTCAAAAACCAATTTTTCGGGCAAACATTATCTTTTTAATGTTTCTTTCTGCTGATTTTGGTTGCTCAAATCTCTTTCGTTTACCTGGTCTTCATCCTGACATCAACTCTAGAAGTTCTCAATGTGGAAGTGCATGTAGGTGGAAATACAGGAAATACAGGGTAAAGATTGATGACTAGGGCATGGTCTTCATTCAAAGGCCACATAATGACAAATCATCAGACTAAGGATCAATGTAACTAAATCGTCAACGGGGATGAAGTACTGAATAAACCGTTAACTTTAGACACAGGCAGACCAAAAGAAATGTATAAGGTATATTCCAGAATCATGTGACTATTAGAACTGCATATTACTACTCCGTCCACTGAAATAATCAGTCCGTCCTTCATCCACGGTCGGTTAATCGAGGGAAGAAGGTAATCCATTGTCACTAAAATTTATGAGATGGGATACAGAGAACAGAGCCTTCAGCCACAATAATGTTGTCGTTTAAATATTTGAAAGAGTTGGCAAGATGATCAACATGATGGGTATGCGATTAACTGTCAGTTAAACAATAGGCAAAATCGTTTTATGGAATAGAAAGTCGTACACGATCAATCTCTTAATAAAGAAAGAAGTAGACTGAATCGTCTGATAACAGAAAATGACTAGGTTTGTGTCTGAAATTCTCGATAGCACTGTCAAAATAGGTCAAGAAGCACTGGATATCAACAAGATCAATCAGTCAACAGCCACGTAGAACATCGTACGTACGTACATCAGTTTATGTTGCCATAACACATTATCAGAGATGCAATCGTCACTTCAAATCCCATAGTAATAGAGGTAGTAAAAGTATTAGCAGTAGTCGAAGAGGTTAGGATTAGAAGATATTAGTCAAGAAGAAGAAGCTAAGGTAATGGACTTAGAAGGATTAAGGTAAAGTGATGAAGAATTAAAAAGTTTAGGATTTGAGAGAACACAAAGAATGAATGCATCTGCGCCATTGCAAACGACTTTCAGCCATTTCATTCAGGGTTTCTAACCATCAATTATTACCATTTTGCGTGCCCCAACCACGTAGTCAACACATACCAACATGGCTCAGTCCACTTGTCAGTTAATTCATGCATTTGTGCTACGTTTTGGTCTGGCCGCCTCTAGCTTTCGTCCAGCTTACTCATGCACCACAAAACATAGCTCGTCCAGGCAATCGGTGGTTGGGCATTCGTAACACATGTCCCAACCTGCTCAACTGATGAAGTTTCAATACTTCATCTATTAATCTGCCATCACTATCTAGTACTCGTTTCGTAACCACAGCATTGCTTACTCAGTTGTCCCATGATACACAACCAAGGCTTCGGAGACAACTCTGATCGTTACCTACCAACATCATCTACTCTCACTGACCATGTTTCACAGCCATATAGAAGAACGGAGCGAACTGCGGCGCAGTACACTCGTCCTTTGGTTAGCGAACGGATATCACGCCTACGCCAAAAGTGACGCAGGTTGGCAAAAGCCAATCGAGCCTTCTGTATCCGCGCTGAGATTTCGTCAGTCACCAGACCATCGGCACTGATGAGAGTCCCCAGATAAGTGAAGCGGTCTGCACGCTCGACTAATTCACTCCCTATCACTCGTTCAGGTGCCAATGCAACCCAGTCTTGAAGCAACATTTTGCATTTCGAGGGGGAAAACCGCATCCCGAACATGCTTGCATTAGTGCTTATGGTAGTCAGAAGACTGCATTTTGTCAGCGTATTCACCGAATAGAACTATGTCATCGGCATATTCTAGATCATTAAGCGACTTTCCTGGTAGAAGGTCAACCCCTGAAAATCTGACGAGCTTCATTTTAACTCTAAGAGGATGTCTACGACAAAGTAAAACAAGAATGGAGAGATTGAACAGCCCTGACGGACACCACTTGATGTCAGTCAGTCAGTCAGATGCAACGTAGAACTTTGTACATAAGTACATCACTTCATGTTGCCATACCACATCAACACAGAGAAGTAATCGTCAATTCAAATCCAATAGTAGAAGAGGTAGTAAACGTATTAGGAGTAATCGGAGAGGTTAGGATTATAAGATACTTTCAAGAAGTATGATTCAGTGAGAAAAGTTTAGAGAGTCGAAACTAGAGGGGTTGAAGAATCCAGAAGATTAGCATTTGAGAGAACACAGAGAATAAATGCACTGGCGCCATTGCGAACGATTTTGAGCCATGTCATTCAAGGTCTCTAACCATCGATTATTATCATCTCGCGGACCCCAACCAGGTAGTCGACAATTACCGACATGGCTAAGTCCACTAGTCAATGACTTCATGGATTTCTGCCATGTTTTGGTTTGGCCGCCCCTAACTTTCTTCCAACCTATTCCCACACTACAAAAC